GGGAGGGGAGCGGAGAGGGAGGGAAGAAGAGAGCGAGAAGGGGAGAGGGTAGGAAGAAGAGAGGGGAGAGCAAAGGGAGGAGAGAAAGCCGCCGACGCGCGGGGGGACGGCAGCACAGGTCCCCCTACTCTTCCCTCTTGCGACAGGCACGGTGACCCTCTCCAGCTTCCCAACTCTGATCTCTAACGCTGCCCCACAGCGAGCGACTCCGGGCCGCTTCCCCTACGCTGACCCTCACGCCTCACGAGCAGCCGAGAAAACCATCTTCCCTCTTCGCAGGTGAAGTACTGGGCCTGATGAGTCAAACGACCTCACCAAGGTCACGCGAACAAAACCACGCAGCGGGAACCAGGCCCAGCCGGCAGACTGCGAAGCCCGTTGGCTCTTCCAGGACCCCGCAGCCAACCCGGCTTCCCAGGCGTCGCCGCGGCCCACTCGGCCCCGGCCGACCGCCCGCCGCCCTCCGAAGGCCGCAGCGGGGGCGAGCAGAGGTCGACGAGAGCCGGAGGCCCAAAGCTCCACCACGGCTGAGATCCGGCAGACTCCGACTAGACTCAAAGGCCGACAGAAAACGGAAAGTCCCCAGTCTACCTAACAGAGGACGCAAAAGCGACCCATACTCACCTCAACGCGTCCTTCCCGGCTGAGGTACACACAGCTGCAGTCTAGCAGCGCGCAGGCGCAGAATGAGGAAGCCCGGAAGACCAGGCGACGGTGGCCCAAGGAGTTCAAAAGGCCTCTGGCGCTCCTACCTCCGTTCACGGGCGGAGTTTAGTTTCTTGGTCAGCTTCTTCCCAGTGTAACCTCCGAAAAAAGGGCTTTACTTCCTGAGAATTGCCTTAGTAAATTGAAGATAACAATCTTACTCATACACAGGGTTGTTAAGGACTTATTTGAAGATTCAGAAATATTTTATATGTGAAAAAAATGTTTAACATACCCTATCAAATGCAGTGCAAATCATCTTAGGCCCAAACTGTGTGCACAAACTGACTTTTTCATTATAAATTACCCTTACGGGAATAACCAGTTGGTTTTGGTGAAGAGATTAGAAGCTGACTTCTAGGAGCGCAGAGCCCAGCAGATGAGAAATATAAACAGATAAATACCAATGCCATGCAGTGGGCACTATCACACAGACCCAGCTACTGCAGAGGCACGTGTCTCCCTGGCTCACCTGAGCACGTTTTGATGGACAGGGTGGTGTTTGTGTGGACTTCTTAAGAAGTGTTTTGAAGGAAGGTCACTGGAAGTTCACGGAAAGTGGTGTAGAAGGGTAAAGCTTGTGTGCCTTACTGATGCCAGGCTTCGTTTCTATTGAAATAACCTGGATTGACAAGGCATTTACGTCAATCAGTAAGCAATGTGGAAGACAACTGGGACGCAAAAAATGCATCATACTGAGTCAAAATATTGACTGAGCTCCTACTGCACAGGATGTGCCGGCTCTGCTATACGAGAGGACAGATCTTCAAGGAGCTAGATTCTTGTCAGGAAGTTTTTGTCCTCAACATATTAATAAATGCTATAGGGACTGTAACCTTTCAGCCACACAAAAAGGTACTAATTGAGCTCAGAAGTAGGTTTGGACCTCAGTAACAGTTTTTCAGGCCTATTGTCAAGGGTCTACCGAGCTGAAAATCTTCACGTGGGATTTGGCCAGGTTGGGTCGGGGTACTTTTCAGAACATAACTCTTAGGTATATAGCTAGAAATCTGGCTCTCCTGAGGAAGGAGAACAAAGGCAGGCCTCCATGCCTCCATCTTACCTTTATCCTGTCTGGAGTGATTGCTCAGACCCAGGAAGGAGGGACGTTTTACTAACCTACCAGTCAGAACTTAGTGTGCCAACTGCAAAAAATGGAGAGGGCCCTCTAGCCCACATGTCAAGCCTCCTAGATACAAAGAGTCTTTTTTTTTTCTTTTTTAAAGCCAGATTTAGCAGTGGGGGATTGAATAACTTTAGTGACACTAATGTTAATAAGCTCTGATGACCCACTACCATCAGACTAGCGTAGAATAGAGTCTGGAGGGTGACCTAGAACAGCTTTAAGGCTGATTATCATGTCCTTATCTTAAATCTACAATGTGGTCCACCTCCCCCAATAATGGGCTCTCAGAGAGGTTCATGGGAGGTCTGCATGCACAATAAGACTCAGTGGTTCCAAGGTGACCTCTGAACCATGAGGTCAGCCTGATCCAGACAGTATAAACACACACACTGACCATAACCACACCTCTTTGCCCTTGATCATAACAATGAAGGCCCATTCACTGTCCAAGGCAAACATATCTTGCTCTATAAACCTTCTTACTCCATAAACCAGGCGTCCTCAAACTACAGCCCACGGGCCACACGCGGCCAGCCAAGGACATTTATCCAGCCCTCAAGGTGTTTTTGCCGCCGCTGCCTGTCCTGCTTAGCAGCTGACTCTTCCCGGGGCCTGCAGTCTGGCCCTCCAACGGTGTGAGGGACAGTTAACTGGCCCCCTGTTTAAAAAGTTTGAGGACCCCTGCTGTAAACCTATCTTTCTCTTCCTCAATGGACTTTCACACTTGCCTTACTTTGGGGTATCAGGTCATTCTTCAACCAGGAGCACCCCCAAAACCAAGGATGTAGACAGCTCCCTGAAACCCCAACATTTTAGGAAACAGGCAACTGCCTTGAAACCCAACATGACCATATAATTTATTCCTACTTTCAAATTTAACAAGCAATAAAAGATTGCTGAGTCAGAGTTAGATCACGGAGTTAAGAGATAAAGGAGGAATTTTTCATTCTCATTACCATGACAGTGTAGGATTTCAGGGATGCAGCCAAAGAAAACAGCTAGAATTCCTGCTGTGAGTGCTCACTGATCAATAAACTCACCTAGGGTCAACAGGAAAAGCCATCTGACCCTTGGAGTGGACAGGGGAAAGAAGGCATAGTCTTTCTCCCAGAATTGTATTCTAAGGATTCAACTGAGGATGTGGACTATCACAAATCTTGGATCTGGGATGCTTTTTTTTTTTTTTTTTTGAGACAGCGTCTCACTCAGTCACCCTGCATAGAGTGCAGTGGCATCACAGCTCATGGCAACCTCAAATTCATGGGCTTGAGCAATCCTCTTGCCTCAGCCTCCCAAATAGCTGGGACTACAGTGCCCACCACAATCCCCAGCTAGTTTTTCTATTGGAGTCTGACTTTGCTCAAGCTGGTCTCAAACTCCTGAGCGTAGGTCATCCACCCGCTCCAGCCCCTCAGAGTGTTAAAATTACAGGTGTGAGCCACTGAGCCCAGCCTGGGGTACTTTTTAAAACAGGAGCACACACAACATGTAGGTAAGAATCCAAGGGAGCTCCTAGGAGCTGGTAAAAGAATACTGTGGTTACTTCTTAGTGATCTTATTATTGACTAAGCAAATGTTGTGAGTGATGATCTGAAAATAATCTCTAGCTGTTAGAGACTAGCTCTAAGTGACTTGAGCTTCGCTGGCTCTGCAAGTCCCCAGAAAGGCAGCCTCTAGCAGAGAGTCCTTCACTGTCACTGATGCTGTCTGGCACAGAGCTTGGGAGGCTCAGGAGGATGCAGAGTGGTTTAAGAAGGGTCTTAGCTACATAGTTGTAGCAGAGTCCATATCTAAATGGAGTTCACTGCAGCTATGACAAATAAAAGGGATGGTTTTGAGGAAATCTGGTTCTTTCCTCAAAGGTGATCAGTCCCACATCTTACCCTAAGAAAGGGAGGCATAGTGAAAATTCTAAATAAGTTCTAAATCAGTTGTGCTATGAACAAGCATTTGCATTTAAAATATGTACTAGAACAGTGATGTCCAATATAAATACAAAGCTAGCCATGTGGGCAATGTAAAAAAAAGAAATTTTTTTTTTGGAGTTTTTGGCCAGGGCCAGGTTTGAACCCCCCTCCTCTGGTATATGGGGCTGGCACCCTACTCCTTGAGCCACTTGCACCACCCTAAAAAAAACTTTTTTTTGAGACAGAATCTCACTCTGTCACCCTGAGTAGAGTGCCTTGGCATCACAGCTCACAGCAACCTCAAACTCTTGAGCTCAAGAGATCCTCTTCCCTCAGCCTCCCAAGTAGCTGTGACTCCAGAGACCATAGTCCTACCACAATGCCAGACTAGTTTTTCTATTTTTGGTAAAGACAGGGTCTTGCTCTTTCTCAGGCTGGTCTCGAACTTCTGAACTCAAGCAATCCACCTGCCTTGGCCTCCCAGAGTGCTAGGATGACAGGCATGAGCCGCCATAACCAGCCTGAGCAATGTTAAATTTTATAAAGCCACATTACAAAAGGAAAAAGAGATAAGTGAAATTAATGTTAGTAACATGTTTGACCCAATATATCCAAAATACTGTTTCAACATGTAATCAATCTAAAAAATGATTGATATTTTCTATTCTTTTTTATACTAAGTCTTCAAAAATCTGGTGTGTATTTTTTACTTACAGTGTAGCATATCCTTGAATAATATCCTTTCATTCAGCGTCCTTTTGTTATAACTTTGATAATAAAAAAAAATCACTTCAGGACCAGGCCAGTATCTGTGTGTGGTTTGCACTTTCTCCCATGTTTCCATGAGTTTTTTCCAGATGCTCCAGTTTCCTTCTGTTACTGAACCAAACTGGGGTCCACTCACATGGACCTGTACCCTCAGCTACCTGGAAGGATTGCTTGAGGCTAGGAGTTTGAGACCAGCCTGGGTGGATACACTGAGATCCTGTCTCTTAAAACAATAATAATACAAATAAAAACAAATATTTCTATTCCTTTCAAACACAGATTAGGGTTATACTTCCCTGCTTCGTTTAAATTAGGAACAGAGGAGGCTGCAGTGAGCTATGATGAGGCCACTGCACTCCAGCCTGGATGACAGAACAAGACCCTGTCTCAAAAAAAAAAAAAAAGTTAAGAATGGCCACATGACTTGCTTTAGCCAATGCAAGTGACATATGCCCCTTCTGGGGCACGACTTGCCACGTTCTCTTTGCCCTGCCTTTGTTGTGGTGAAAGTATTGATTGAGATGGTACTTAAGTCACCAGGGGTCTGTGTGACTAGGAGGAGCAGAGCACTCCTACTAGACCCATGCTGGCCAGGCACGGTGAAGGAGAAGTGAGTAGTAGACTGGTGTCTACTGCACTGGGATTCAGGGATTGTTTGGTCCTACAGACAAATGTAGCTCATCCTGACTGGTCTAGGAGCTAAGAAAAATGTATCTGTTTTAATTAGGGGGGTGTGTGTGTATGTGTAAATGCTGAGATTTGAAAGGAAATGGGGACATTAAGATGGCACGGGAAATAAGCCGTGCTGATCATCACAATTTCCTCTAAGTTGAAAACAGAATGGAAATGTGGAGTTCCACCCTTCCGGGAGAGGGGAATCCCTGGGCCCAGCCCTGATGTCTAGAGGAGCTGTAAGGAGGCCCCAAGTTTTGAAACAGAACTTTGTCTTTGGCTTAAGTGTCCTCCAGCTGTTGTCGTATGGAGATTGTGGGCATTTGGGCCCCTTCAAGAGATGAGTGCCTGAGGCATCCACACTCAGAGGGTTCTGATGGGGTGCTGTGTTCTAGGGGATCCTGGACTCCCCT